GGCAAGTAGCTGCAATTAGCCGCTAAGAAAAAGGTGCAGACAGGACTCCCCGTTGTCATATCCAATATATTTGCACAGTTGTCAAGCTGCTGATTTTAAACCAGGGCTTGTTTCGTTATGCTAGTGGTTACGGTGGGAAAATTGCTGCCACTGAACCAGAGAAATAATCCTGTATACAAAGCCACTGTTTCTCAGTACTTCCCCATCACAGACCAACCCTAGGCACTATACCACACATCGAGTGAATATGCCTGCCATATTGACGCACAGCATAGTTTTTTAAAAAGCACATGCTGTACCTATTTTTTATACTCTAAGGCAGTGGTGGCAAACCTATGGCACTTGTGTTGCAGCGGGCACACACAGCCCTCTCTGTCAGCACATGAGCCAAGTCACCCTAGCAGCTGTGCATTGGATAACAGTGCACATAGGGGCCATGTGCATGCTCAGAAAGGAGTAGTGACGCCAGGTGATGATGTCACAAGCCACGATTCGTTAGCCATGACTCATCTGAGCTTTCGCATGGCCGGTCAGTGTGCCGCCAAGGAGATATATATATGCTTGGACTGGCTGTGAGTTTTAATCCACTGTTTTTATTAACAAATTATATCAAATCTGATACAAGAAGCAGACTAACGGATGACCTGAGTGCTGCATGTGTTGCTCTCAAACTAATGAAGTATGAGCCAAGGTTTGACAAATTATCAGCATGCATACAACACCAAAGTTCACATTAATTCTGCAAAAGCACATCAAATGCAAACTTTTACCTTTCAATAAAAACCTGTTTGTATCATTGAAAGCTCTGTTATTGTGTTTTCCTTTTAAGACAAAAGATGTTAATATATTAGTTGTTTTTTCCTAAACTAAAACCTCAGTGTTCAGGTTTTATCGCAGTGTTACTTTGCGATAAATGTGGGTTTTGGATTGCAGTTTGGGCACTTGGTCTCTAAAAGGTTCACCATCACTGCTCTAAGGCATCATGTATTTTATTGTGTTGTACATTTGTGATTCTACAATAACTACCTTCATATCTGCTTTCTACAAAATCCCATGGTAGAGTAACATGTTTAAGACAGATGAAGGTTATTCTGTGTAAATCATTACAAAGCATGGCCTTAAAAACTGACAGTTGGCCAAGACAGAATATATGGATTAGGGTCTCCATTGGCAATAACTACGGAAAGAGACAATTGTAGGATAACAACTAGACAGTATAAGCAAACACATATAGCCACTTTTTAAGTGAACACTTTTTAAGTGAATCTTTTGTCCAGCCCTTCATAAAACAACAGGAAGCTACTGTATTGACGTATGTATTGAAGTAGTGATAAGCATAACACAATAAGCTAGGATCTCTTTAAAATCCTGGCTTATCACATGTGAACCTCCTGCAATTTAACTTATTTCTGTGACAATGGCATATAGGTAGCACATGTAAACCTACCAGACTTTCTTACGAAAGCCCTGGTTAAAATTTCCAATTTAAAACCACTTACAATTTATTGTAAGATGATAAGCAGCAGGTTTCTAATAAATGTTTTAACAGAAATCAGTTTTCAGCCTGCTAAATAATTCAATACACTGTATCAACTAAGGAACAGACATGTCACTGAGTTGGTTCTGTTGGTTAAACCATGATTTAAAAGATCAGGAACAAACCATGTGCTGGCATAGTTTCTTTACCATCCCTTATGTGGTCAATGCCATGAGTGACTTCCTAGTTTCCTAAAACCATAGACTTTTGTCACATCTGAACCAGCCTTCTAATTGAACCAAGATGAAGCAAACTAGTCTACTAGCTCAGATGTGACAACAAATTATGGTTTGATGGATTAGAAATGAACCATCTCATCATGTGTAAATTAATAAGCATCTGGTAAAGGGCACATGAAACAAGAATTTTATTTTAATATTATGGCAGGTACATGGAGCACCAATACAGGGAAGTATTCTGTGGTGCTGCACAACAGAAGCATCATAATTAAATTGGTCCTTAGTTCAGATACAGTAAGTCTTTGTATTTTTCTGTTAAAAAGACTGATGTAAGAGATAGGACATGTAATAATTATCTTAGCAAGAGACATATTTCACAACTTATGATTCCTTGAGGTCATACCAGATATGTTCTAACAGTCTAGAAGCAATATCCTACAATTCAAGGTGTTGATTATGACCTATAAAGCCCTAAACGGCTTGGGTCCTGGCTACCTGAACGAGCGCTTACGTCCGTATATGCCCGACCGCCCTTTGAGATCTGCGGGAGAGTCCCTTCTCCGGGAACCCTCCATGAAAGAAATTAGGAGAGTAAGTACTCGGAGGAGGGCTTTCTCTGTGGTGGCACCCAACCTATGGAATTCACTCCCCAAAGAGGTCCACCTGGCACCGTCGTTACTGGTTTTTCGGCGCCAGGTAAAGACCTTTTTATTTAAACATCATTTTAATTGTTAAAACATATGATCTGGCCAGGGCAACTTCTTCTTCCTTCTCTTTCTCCTCCTATATTTTTATTTACTTAATTTATACTGATAATTTTAATCTTATATTTGTAAATCAATGTATTTTTTGTATTTTGTATTTAATGGTAATTTATTATGTGCTATTGTATTTCATTGTATTTTATCGTGTTGTAAGCCGCCCCGAGGTTTCGGCAAGGGGCGGCATAGAAATGTTATAATAATAATAATAATAATAATTATTATTATTATTATTATTATTATTATTATTATTATCAACTGCAACACCAATGCATCTTTTTGCCTTGAGGTTTCTAAATGAATCCTAGCCCATTATGAAGATCTGTACTTTCCAACTTAGGGGTGCCTTGGAAAGATCAAACTACGGTCATTCCTTTTTCTGTTGTAGTCAGCCTCTGACTGAAGTGGTTGCTGCATTTTTATTTATGCCATCTAAAGCTATCAAATAATTTCTGCTTAAAATGCTTTCAACTAACATCCATATAATAGCAAGGAGTCTGTAATGCTGCTTCTACTGCTGTGCCTCAGACAAACCTGCTAAACTATGTCATATTGATATAGACATGTGGCAAACACAACTGTTTATATTCCTAACAAGATTTTAGCAAAGTTACTATAGGAAAGGCAGACTCAAAGGAGTTAGTGGTATAAAACAACATGCTTAATAACAATATATAAATAGATACTTCTTAGAAAGGAATAATAATTACATTGGCAAGTTTGTTTCCTTCTACTTGTTTGTTTCTTCTTATTTTTCCCTAATCTGTCTCCTAAATATATGGACATGAGAATTATATGAGCAAGGGCTTATGGAACTGCAAGACAGCTTGCTACTGCAAACTTGCCAACACAGCCTTATCCCACCAGGGGGCTCAGTTCTTTCAAGACCAGAGTCTGTAAAAAGATACAGCTTGAAATGGTATCACTTCCCAGTTACTGACTAGATTCGGGTTGGACATGCACCGACTTGCAGTAGGGGAAGAGATGGGGGCTGAGGGTAAGCTTCTCACATTGCAATTAAAACGTCTTGCCTGAAAATTAGATCAAGGATAATCTCATAAACTCTAAAGAAAACCTGAATATTCACACACTATTTCCCACCTCCTCTTTCTAACTCAGTGGGCATCTCAAAAGCACCCTTAAAGTCATATGATAAGCTGAAAAATCTGGCTTATTAAACCAGAATGTTAATACACGGCATGTTTGTGCACACAGACAACTTACTTCACTCCTCTCTTCAGGTGATCACATAGAGGAATAGCTTAGCTTGATGTCTGAAGTTATGCTTTCTTTTACTCTCTTTTTATGGGATATCTACAAGGTGTTGCTGTCAGATGATGATGATGATGATGATGATGATGATGATGATGATGATGCTATTATTGTTATTATGCTGCATTTATAATTCACCTTTTTTCCTCCTGTGAGTAACCAAAGGTAACTTACAGAGTCATCTTCTGCCCCATTTTATCCTTACAACACCAACTCTGTGAACTGGATTAGACTGAGTTTGAGTGCCTGGTCCAGAGTGCCTGGTCCAAAGTCACCCAGTAAGTTTCAAGGCTCACTGGGGAGTAGAACCCAAATCAAAGAGAACCAGTGTGGTGTAGTGGTTAAGAGCATGGGACTGGGACTCAGGCGACCTGGGTTCTAGTCCCCGCTCGGCCATGGAGCCAACTGGGTGACTTTGGGCCAGTCACAGACTCTCAGCCCAACCTACCTCACAGGTTGTTGTTGTGGGGATAAGATGGAGGAGGAGAATGATGTAAGCTGCCTTGAGCCTGTGTAGGAAAAAGGCAGGATATAAATTGAAAAATAAATAAATAAATAAATAAAAATCTCCTACTCTAACCACTTTAATAAGTGTATAGTGTTATGGTGCAAATTAAAAAAATCTGATAAAACATATTACTACCCTTTTGTTGCTACTATTTGAGATGTTTCCAAACTTTAGATTTATGCTAAAAGTGAACACTTAGAACATGCATTTAAAGTTCCACCTGGAAGAATTGCACAATAGTGATTTGATCTGATTGAATTTATGAAAGAGCATGGACATGGAATATAATTCTAAACATTTGAAATGTCATGCTCAAGTTAAATAACTCTTCCCTGCCAACATAGTTACTTAATGCCCACCATTACAGACAGAACAGTATGATGTACCCCCTGACACAAACACACACACCATGTGATATCCCCTGAAGTGCGGAAATTCAACTCTAGTTTGACTTGTAGCTCACAAAAAAGATGAATGATTGGATAGCCCTAATACTGATCTTCTGCAGCACCCTAAATTTATTTCTTTGTCACATAAACCCTCACTTTTATTTACAATCCACTGGAGACAGCCATTTGAAGTAGAAAACCAATTTAAAATGAACCCCCTCTTTCACATGGTAGTGGACGGTATACAAAAGTTTTAAATAAATAAAAGCCAGAATTACATCTAGGCGATAGCATAGAGACATTTCCAATTAACCCCCCTCCATCCCCCCCAAAAAATCTTCAAAATATGACTACCTGATGCTGGCCCCACATACAAGCTGGAGTCATTGATGTCTCCACCATCATCCCAAATATACTGGGATTGAAGGACCTTAGAATCTTCATTTTCCTCACTGGAAAAGCCTGAGCCAGGAGCAGCTTGCAGGGCACTGGGGACAAGGTCTGACTCAGATACCTCCAAGTTGTTCTGCTCACTGGAATCCAGAGATTCTAAATGGGATGTGGCTGAAAAGTCAACTAAAGAAGTTGAACTCAGGCCTTCAGTACTGGTGTCTTCTGATACAGCAATGCAGATGAATAAAGACCCTACAAAGAAGAAAGAGAATCATGTAACTTTTAAAGAGTGCGATACATGTGGAACCTGGAAAGAAAGAAAAAATCATTGTGAATCTCAAAAATAGTTAAAATCCCCTTGGTCTATAGAAAACTTTTTCACCTACTTTTGCCTGACTACAGTATTCACAACAATCACTGAATAGCTGTGCATCTATCTTAGGGAAGAATGTCATTCTCAGGTATGATAAATATAGTGCATGCACTGCTGGGAAAATGATATATTGCTGCAACAGAATCAGCTTAAAGGAAGATTTTTTAAAACACTGCATATCTCAGCAGGTAACAATGCATTTATATATCCTGAAAATCAATTGTCTCAAAACTCCTCAAGCAATCTTTCCTGAAAATTTGAAATACTACATGTGGGTGCATAAACAATCATTCATCTGCCCCAGTGACAAAACCTAAATGTTTCTAATCCCAATCTGATACAAAAAGATTAAGAGGATGTTCTAAGTATGGATTTCATATGCATAATGATGAGAAAAACAGCCATTTTGAATTTACAGTCTCCCTTAAGCAAAAGTTCAACCTAGTAAACCAAGATTTCCTTTCTTCCTAGACTACATATTGATACAATCACCTGCACATCTTTCCCTTTAGGCTCAAAAATGCACATTTCCTTGGTTGTTCAACAATGGCTCGTGGCATTAACTGTATTTCTCAAATTCAGTTTCTCTGATAAGAAAATAAGAAGAATCATATATATCAGAACAAGGGCCCAGTAATTCTACCATTGTGTTCAGTTGCCCATAGGTACCTACACACAGAACAAGAGTGTGGTGGTACCCTGCTGTCCAACTTCCCTAGCAACTGGTGTACATAGGCATACTGCCTTTGCTACCAGAGGTAGCATAACCTTCAGGACCCGTGGCCACTGATAACTTTCTCCTCTATGAATATCTCCCTTATGACAAATGGGGCAGGATAAAAATCAAAAGAGTGAATTATTTTTTTTCAAGCCATCCATATTGGTGGCCATCACTAAATTTTATGGAAGTGAATTCCATACTTTAAATATGCACTGTGTTACAAAGTACTTCTTACATGTGTTGAATCTCCTAAAAACCAACTACATGGGATGACCTCAAGTTCTAGTATTATGGGAGAGGAAAAATTGGCTTCCTATCTGCTTACTCTACACCATGCACAATTTTGTACACCTCTATTATATCTCCTTTTACTTCCGTTTATGCTCCTTTATTGGAAGCTTCTGGGGGAGTTGCTCCAAACCCTTTTCTGCATTCTTCCCAACTCTACAATATCCTTTTAAAAGTGCAGTAACCAGAACTATACATGGAATTCTAAGTGTGATCACACCATAGATTTGTATAAGAGCAGCACAATATTGGCAGTTTTATTTTCAATTTCTTTCTAATTGTGCCTAACTTGGAGTTTGTCTTTTTCACAGCAGCAGCATACTGGGCTGACATTTTCATTAAGCTGTCCACAAAAACCTCACAATCCCGTTCTTGGTCACAGATTCATAGAAACAGAGAAAAGTAAAGAGGTGGAAAGGGCCAGAAGGCAATCCGTTTCAACTCCTTGCTCAGTGCAGGACACCGAGTTAAACCATGATTCTCAGTTGGCTGTCCAGTTGTACCTTGGATGCCTCTAGTGTAGGAGAGCTCACAACCTGCCTAGGCAATTGGTTCCATCACTTTACATTTGCTCACATTGAACTACATTAACCATTTTAATGGCCATTCTCCCAGTCTGGTGATACCTTCCTGAAGCCCCTTGCAATCCCTTTTGCTTTTAACCACCTTAACCAGTTTGGTGTCATCAGCCTACATGGCCACTACACTGCTTGCTCCTAATTGTAGATCATTTATGAGCATGTTGAAAAGCATTAGGCCCAATACAGATCCCTATGGAACCTCACTTTTTACAGCCTTCCAGTGAGAGAATTCACTATTTATTCCTACTCTCTGTCTTCTGTTCTATGACCATAAGAGGGCCTCCCCTTTTACTCCATAACTGCTAAGTTTGCTCAAGAGGTTTTGGTGAGGGACTTTGTCAAAAGTCTTTTGGAAGGCCAAATAAAATGTTGACTGGCATTCTCAAAGAACCCTGAAAAGTTAGTAGACAGGGGCTACCTTTGCAGAAGCCATGTTATTCTTTTTCAGAAGGACTTATCCTTCTAGCTCCTTACCAATTCTATTTTTATGACACTTTCAACTAATTTCAACCAGTACCAATGTTAAGCCACCCAGCCTGTAATAAATTGCTGTTCCACTGGCCGTTCTCCAATCCTTTGGTTGAGAGGCTGATATCAGGGAGACTGTACATGTTTTTGTAATAAGCTCAGCAAATTCACACTTGAGTTTAGAACTCTAGGTTGGATACTATTTGGGCCTGGTGGTTTCAATTTGACAAGAAAGTCAAGAACTTCATCTTTTGTCACCACTTTTGTCCTTAGCCTCACTTACTGCCACTTTAACTCCATTATCATCTAAATAACTTCTTAGCTGATTTCTTGCTTTTGGTATATTGAATGTATTATCTAATGCTATCCTTGATGTTGTTAGCAATATGCTCCTCAAAATGCTTTTCTTGCACCTCCTCAGTGCAAGTTGATGCTCCCTTTTGCTTTCCTTATTTGGGCAAGGTTACCATTGCCTGGGCCTGGAGAAATGTTGTCCATGGGGTCATGATGGGTCGGACATGACTTCGCAACTAACATAACATAACCATTGTCTGAAGGAAGCTTTCTTTTCTCTAATAGTTTCCTTGACAATGCTAGATAACCAGGCTGGCGAACTCTTGGATTTTGTGCTACCTTTCCTAATTTGTGGCATTTGAGTCTCCAGAGATAGAACTTTCATTAACTTGGGAATGCAATTCCACTGCACTGTAAAAGAACCTGTATCCTTGATGAGTTTTTTCTTATTTTAAAATATCATGGTTCCACAGACAAATGATGCATATGACCATCTCTGCTGGCTGTGAGAGATAATAGATGGCTTTATAAACACAGTGTGTGGTCTGCAAAACTAAGAAGTGCACCTTGACTTGTATTTTTTAAAGAGCTATGCTATGCAATCTCTTCAAGTTCTACGTTCTGTTTCTCTTTGGTGTGCCTGATTAGATATACTGTTTTGCTGAATAAATTTTAACTTTTTTTGCAGGTTGTTAAACTGTGTCTAAGTACATAGCCTTGCTATTGCTCAATATATATGACCTTTGTTAAAACACAGAAAAGGTAACATAGTAGGTTGTAAAACCACATGAATTAAATGAGAAAGATGAGGATTTGCTTGTATCAACTTTATTCCTGATTTTCTGAATCCCTAAGAATTCATATCTGCCAAGATAAAAAGAAAGATGTGTTTGTAGCAATTCCTAAAACTAGACCTGCTTTTAAAAAAATATTGATAAGAGCTGCCTATGGATTTGGATACAAACCCATAAACATGAAAGCACAAGAAAATCAACACACAATTGATTCTGGAAAGCTGAAATCAAAGGGGATACCTTTTTTGAATCCTGACTAATGCATAATCTGAAAAGGCTTTTCTATAACAGATTCAGCTATATTTCTGGAACTGTTTAGGGCCCCATGTTCTCCTCCTCCCTGTTTCTCATCTTAGATCAATAAAACAAAATTAGCTAAAAGGAGATCAGCTTAGACAAAGGCTATTACTAGAAGCACAAAAGTATGACAGAAGCAAGCAACCCTGAAAAGAAATGCACTGCAGCATAAAGGAACCAACCAAGACATCTCTGTGAATCCCAAAGGATGGACAAACCTCACCAAGTATTATTTGCACTTGGCTGAATCAGTCACTAAAGCCAAAACATCCCAAAATATGCCCCATTATAGAAGATTCAGCATGCCTTTCCAGGTCAGATTATATCCAGCTTCAGTACTCTCCTCGCTTGGTCTACAGAAAAGCGGGAGAGGGAGAGGGAGAGGGAGAACAGAATTTTGTCTAGGATTTTTATGCCTTCATGTAGCAGTTGTTGTCAAGTTATTATTAGCACTATATTTGCACTACAGTAGCATCTAAAGAACCCCAAAGAAAAGTATATATATAAAAACATTACTCTGAGAAGGATGGTTAGCTTATGGGCAGGCACAGTAGCAACACCCAAAACAGACTGATCCTATACATCTGTTGTAGCAATGGATGTGCAAAACACAATTATTAGCAAGATCACTTGATTGTCCAGCTAAGTAAGTCCAGCAGCCCTTCTCAATTTATCTGTGAAATCAGTATAAGAACAATGGGCCTAAGAGGCCAAAGGATACCATCAAAACTCCACTCCTGCTCAAATTATGTACCTGCCTTTGAATAACCAGAAGCACCAAAACAGAACAGAAAGTAAAAAGAGAACATGACACCAAAGGTGTCAATTGGGTTTTTTTTAAATATTAACAAACCAACACATTTAAAAACAAGAAGCTCCTTCAGGGACAATTTACAAAGAATACCACATTTTAAAAATACAAACAGTATAAAAAGAAAGGACAAGAAAAAATTACAAAATTACAAATTACAAAAACTACAATAAACCTAAATATAATAAAATTAAGCCCTTATAAACCCAAATTCTAGGAAAAGGCTAAGCCAGTTTAAAAAGGCTCTCTTAGAGCAGCAGGACAAGTAATGACAAGAGTCTTTCTTACATAAGTCACTCTTCAATAAAATTGTTTGACTCTATTATATTCTTACATATTCTTCATGAATATACATTTCTAAGGTATTGATTAGAATATATTACTGATCACTTCAAAACTTCCGCGGGGAAAAAAAATGTATATCATAGCACATACATGTGACACATCTGAGGCAAAACCCAGCTCCCTCAGGCATGTACCTATAAGCTACGCAAAGAACTAAAGCAAATATTTGCTGCATGTTTCTGTAACAATATTACTGAGTGAATGAAGTGTTTTACATATAACTTCAAGAAAAGGAATCTTGGCCACAAGCTCAACTTTCCCTTTCTCCCCTAAGCACTAT